GTGGAGGGGCGAGTGGTACGGCACGAAGTAGAGGATGCGGCCCAGGACGTGGTAGTTCCCCAGCTCATATAGTGGACTAGATTGCACGAGGAGAGAGTCAGGTTAGTTTTGGGCTCCGGGGAAGAAAAAAGGGGAAGGTATCGGAAAGTATAGCACGTACGGAGCTGCATAACATAGACATATGCTGACGATATACACGGTTACGTTGTCATAGTCGAAGGCCCCGATGGCTCTAAAGATGAACCCGACAGCGAACAGAAGGGCGCAGAACACATAGAGCCAGGTGAGTTTGATGCTCTTGTAGTGACTAGACGACGACCGCAAGTTAGGAGCTTCGATCTTCTCAACAGGGTACGTATTTTGCAAGTTAGGGGATAACGTACTAAGCTTGCCAGGTATGTACAGCGCCCGTAGCCAGGAACGCGGCGGCGAAGAATATCGGCGCGCCTTTGTTCGGGGCATAGTACCATACGCTTCCTTCAACCTGTTGGCCGTCTTCCATGCTGTTGATGTCGTGCACTGGTAATATCTAGGGTAAGGGGTCCAATTCTAAACACAGATAGGTAAGTAGAAGCAAGGCTTTTATTAGTATCAACGTTGACCTCGTCTCAAATCAATGATGGACCATTTCTACATCACCAGCTGTTGAAGGAGCAGTCATCTTTTAAATATGTCTTATTCGTTTAGGTAGTTCTTGTAGCTACCACACACAAAGAGCAGACATTCAGTCTGTCTTGTCCTATCCCTCTCTTTTCGCTCTTGATCAGTCACTATTCATCTCAGCCTCTGGTATACAGCCAATAGCATCGTAATATGCTGGCTTGAATACGGCGTATAGAGTATCCGGCCAATGCCTCGGCGCCGTTGCAGGAGCTGCGCCCGTTGTTGAGTCGCCCGTCTAGCAAGAAAGGAGAGCAAAATGGTCTCTCTCATTGGGTAGCTTCGCGGATCTGACCCAAGGCGGGCAAAGAGAGCAAAATCAAAAAAGTCTTGGCCAGCTCATGTTCGTTTTCGGACAAGCGCTGGTTCAACTCAACGCAGCTAGGTGCGTTAGTTTTCTATATTGACTAAGAATTACCGGTCTACGTGCGAGTGAGATTATGATGCCATTCGAGACATTAGAACCTTATTACCATCTAGGATCATATTCTCGTGAATTTGGTAAGAAAGCACCAGTGGCGTTGCGGCTGAGCTATCGGGTTAACCGTCAAGCTTGGTCAAGTCATGGTAAGTTTTACTCTCTCCCAGAGCACTCCTTGGAGTTGACTTTTTCCTGAGCCTTAATTCCTAAATTGTAAATTCAAAGTTACTTCATCGCCTCATTTGCTTAAGATAGATATCCACTAGAGTGCTATTCTTAGACAAGAGCATCTTCACCTTGCACCTGAAGACCATCGCCCTGCCATTTGAAACAAGATTCAGCTACAAATTATTAGAAACGATAGAAAGAAAGTTTCAGAACTGAATAATTGCCCCTGTCTGTAGTTGGCATGTCTAGGCTTTAACACGGGATAAAGGGGAGAAGGATGAGATATGGCTTCTAATTTCATCCGCACTTCAAGAAAATGTAATTGGCTAATCTATGTCAGCAAATGATCATCCACTTCATCCAGCACGTTCGGCTTGTTTACAATTTTAATAACGCGAAACGAGGAGCATGCTAATATTTCCATATAGCAAGATATTAGCTTCTATTTGGCGGAGATTTTCTTGGTAGCCGATCATTCTTTGGGAGGAGAGGATTAAGAGATAAGCTTCTCTTAAAAGCTTTCCGGTAGCTTTATTGGGAAGAGCAAGTCAACCCCGGATTTTGTAGATTAAAACGGTTGGGTACAAACCGGGAATAGGAAGCGTGCATAACAAGACATCTTGGTGCCTTTATCAAACCACTGTAGAAACAAGTTTGAACCCATGGGCCCGTTGCCCATAAAGACCTAGAGGGTATTAGTTAAACTCCGTATTGTCGGTGACTACATTTACATATTTTATTTCTAAAGGGTAGAGGCTGTTTATTTAATATGTGTTTGTTATGATAAACATATCCGCGCTGCTAAACTGTTGTACGCTCGCCTTAGTCTGGTGCTTCTAGCTCTAGGCGGTATTGGTTTCTGAACTCTACCTACTCATAATAAGCCCTAAGTTACAGATATTACTGAAAAGTTGACTCCTTTAACCCCGAGGCAGGAGATCGCTCCAGTTGGTTATGAGAAACCCATTATTAACAGACTTCTTAAATGCAAAGACTTTCAACGATGATATCTATTAAGTAAGGCATGCTCTATTAGTTACTTACTTGTGTTGCTCCTCATTATCCAATGCAATATCAAGATTCATAGTGAGAGCTAGGGTCGAGAAAATATGTACTAAGAGGTTTTCATCAGTCATAAAAGGGGGCTAAGATCAAGCTACAAGCGCTAATACTTGAAAATATTCATGGTTTGAACACACTTTGAGTTGCTTCCCTCTCGATATACTAGTTCCTATATATTTACTTGGCTCTTAGAATCTCCACATCCCTAGTTGTTCGAGATGATTGACGCATTTTGTTTTTCGGACGACATGTAGATTCGTCACCTATGGCCTCTTATTCTATTTAGTGATCTTCCATAGCCTAGCCTTCTTCGATATTTTCATGTGGAACTTTATCGATGTCGCGATGTACTGGTACTTCATATAGAATGAATGGACTACGTATCGCGATAGTAGCGTATTTGTTTAAGGGGGCATCCTGCTATTATGCAGAGTCGTCATCCTACCCGAGTATCTTGCACCGGCGTGGATTATGCATCAATATATGCAGTGTACCACGCGGGACAGGGTAACTAGGAACAATTATCACGCATCAGCTTGCATTACGGCAAGTTTACCGGGCCGCAAGACCAAAAGAAAAAAGAGCCACATTCCTTGGTGACATACTGACAACGAACAGGATGTTGCGGGATCCTAACGAGAAGGATCGATAAAGCGTCGCCCAAAGGGCCCACAAGCGCATATCCTACATAGGCCACCTAGATCTAGGAGCTAGTTGCATAAATATTCTCGCGACCGAAGAGGGTGGGAGAAGTGACAACTATACACCCAATATTGATAGAATCTTGCAATCTAGCAGATCCTGAGACTCGGGTGGCTTGACGTGGCAGGTTTCCACAGACGCTTCTTTCACTTCTCGGGAGTTTCATAAACGAATCAAGGAGGAGCATATGTCTATTTCTATCTGCGCCGTAATCACTAAGAGAGGTCATCCTATGTGAAGCTCGTCTGATATCATGATACGGGTAGGTTCTTCCCGGATGAGGCGTACCGAGGAGGCGGTAGAAGCATATAGTGTAACTTAGTTACTCGTTAGACTGGGTGTCGGATAACACCTCGAATTCCTGCTTTGACATGATTCTATGCTGGATTCCCTCTAAGTTCCCCGCGTAGGAAGCATACAGCTAGCTGGTCATATGAGCAGCACCATCCAACCCATCTTGGGTTGGATGAAGTGTCCAAGAGCTTCAAGACATGCTTCTTCTCACTGGCTATTTCGAAATCCTTCAATGAACCGTTATTGAATCGACTCAAATACCAGATCAGATCATAGTATCTTCGATGCAATATCTTGTGTAACCATTCCATGTCTCGTAAAAAGGCGAATAAGATAAAACCATCTTCTGGTAGCTAATTACCATTGACGGTCCAGATAGACACGGGTCTTGCCCTATATAGAAAGCGTATATTTCCACAGCTCAAGCACTAGCACTATTCCATGACATGATTAGACCCCAATAGAGAGATGCGAAAAGAGAAATTGCCAAACAACTATTACGCATTTCATCATGCATCCCAAGCTAGGGGTCTTGATATCCTCCTAAAGGAACCTCGACAAGGTACCTATAGCACAGGGGAGGGTGAGTAAATATAGAGTCGAATGTTCTTCCCGGTCTTCGACAATTTCCTCTAAATAACGAACAAAAAGGAATTGTTAACGTGTAGACTATAGCATTATCTCAATGTCAAGATAGCTCTGGTGGCTGGTAGTATGGCGTAGAGGCTGGCGGGGACATTTTCAAAAAGAGAAAAGAAAAGCGGCGGGGAAAAGAGCTAAAAATAAATTAAAGGAAAGGGGACCAAAGAAAGAAGAAAAAAGGAAGAAAAAAAGAAGAAAAAGAAAAAGAAATCCTAAACCAAGTCACAAACCCGAATACATAAAAACTATCACCAAAACGCAAAACAGGCGCAACTACACAGACACGAAAAGAGTAAGCAACGCAACCAAATAAAGACAATAAAACAAATTAAACATCCTCACTGAGGCACCAATATCCAAGCAAAGGAGTTTTCTACGGAACAATCAGGATGTCAACGCACAAGGACGACAAGACTGCAGCAGACTTCACGTCGTACTACCTGCAGCAGTCGACAAGGGAGTTCGCAGGGGACCTGGACAAGATCCGTAGCGCGGATGACTTCAAGGCCGATGCGCTTCCCATGCTGATAAAGTCGCTACAGCAGGGGACCTCGATGTTCTCGGCTGCGGACCAGCAGAGGATCGTAGACGCGCGGAAGCGCAGGGCTGAAAACGAGGATGAGGATGATGATGCAAAGGAAAAGGAAGAAGAGGAGAAAATCAAGGACGCGAAGGAATGAAGATGAAATAAATAAATAAAACGCACAAAGGGGATGCACCCCACAACACGTGCTGGGAAGGATGATGATGCTTATGGTAGTAGTACTAGGGTAGGAGGTAGGAATGTAGTGATGACAATGGTAATGATGATGACGGATTCTACCCAGAAGAAAGAAGCTTTATTCTAAAGTTAGAGAAAAACATCGTGAGAATAAACAATAAGAAAGATTTCGATTCCACATATCCACTCAATGAGATATCAATTGAATGCATAGAACCTACCTAGGTAGTTTAGAAAAAAAAAAATTTGAAAATCAGTAACTGTAAAAACTGACATTGAAAAATAAGAATAAGAATATCATGATAGAAAAAGGGAAAGAAAAAAGATATGCGACACGAGCAGGATTTGAACCTACGAGGCCGAAGCCATAAGATAGCTGAACTCGCACTGAATTCAAGTCTTACCCATTAACCACTCTGGCATCGTGCCGATGTCTAGATGAATGGCGACGAGCTTAACTTGGCTTAAGTACCCCACCGATCTGACTTGACTTACATCGTTGTACGAAGGCAGGGGCCAAAAGTCTGCACCCTTCGGTACGCACGACCTTATTTGCCAAGGATGCCAAGGACCAGAATCAGCTGTTGCCAGCCGAAAACCAGCTGCAAGTCTAGCTCTGCTATAAATATAGCGTCTTTACTGCAAATACCCACTATAGATTAATGAGGATTAGTGCATATGCTTTATAATTATAAAACTGTAAATAGTGGCTAACTTAATTCTGACTCTTTACAGCTGTTATCAGCTGCAACTAAAGCCTTGGCTATCTTGGCAAATAAGGTCGTGCGTACCGAAGGGTGCAGACTTTTGGCCCCTGCCTTCGTAGACTAGTAGTTAGCGCAGACATCAGCTTCCAATTGATTCACTTCTGCATAACATATTAACAAAATATCTGAACAATTGTCCTGCCAGATGACAATCACGGGTACTCTTATTAACTAGAACTGAAAAAAAATTCAATTCTGTAGAAGAAAAACAAAACAAAAGGGAGATGACTTTACCTTTATAAATATAGCAAGAGGCAATAGACAGGGGTGAATATGTACATACCGATATCTAAGACATGTGAACTTAGCATAACCATTTCAACTGAAGTAGATTATTAGAATTAGATGAAGATGTATGCACAACTACCCAGTGCCTATTTGATGACGGCGATTAAGCATAGGAGATTTCGTTTCATGTAAATTGTCATTTCTTGGAATATATAACCTCTAGGTTAGATATATCCAAAGGTATGAAACCATATAGGCATATACTTTCTCTTATCCAAAGGCCTCTCCATGTATATTGAAACATGGCCTAGAAACAAGAAGTCAAGCAAACGAAACAGCAAACGAAATGGCAAACAACGGCTAGGCCGTAAGTAAGTAACCGATACTATGTCTAATACGGAAAGTCATCGTCTTCGCGTATCGAGGCAGATCACATAGACACACTAGGTGTCTCTCAACCTAAGATCGTCTTTGTTCCTAGCTCAGCATAGCTCTCAGACATAGTACTGCTTCCGGGTGCAAGCTGGTTAACAGGTCCCTCCCCCATCCTAGTCGAGATACTATGATCTGCTGTTTTCTTTCGCCAGTACATGAATGCTGCACAGTCACCCTAACCTCCTACACCAGTTTGAAGTTAACAGCTCCTGTATTCGGGGCGTCAATGTCATCGTTATAATTACCACCATAATCCTTGCGGATAACACCTCCCTCCCAGCAAAAAGTAAGGGGAGACGGAAAGGAAAGAAAATATTGAAAGGAAACGAGAGAGCGGAAACAGGGAAAATAAAGAGGGGGTAATCAGGAAGGACGGAAAAAAACGAAGGAAAGGAGAGCAATATATAATATCGACGTATCTTCGTTCTACCCTCTCCAATCCTAATATATCTTTCCACTCAACATCTCTTTTCCTCATCCCCAGACATAAGCAGATACAGCCCAACTCACGATGCTCTCCCACGGCGGCCAACAGTTCGCCACCCTCCGGGACGCCATCCCCTGGCTGCGCAACATCTCAGACGACAGCACCCGATTCGCAGCGCAGTCCTCTCTCGCCCGACAAGTAACGTACCCCTTTCCCTCCCCCTCCCCATACCCCCCACTAACCCCCTCCAGGCCTTCGCCCACCTCCACGGCACCTCCGACGTCTTCGAGCGGTACATGTCCTACCTCGAGAGCGACCAATCCGCGTACTCCTCCGCGGTATCCAGCTACGCGGGATTCGAAGCGCACTTCGCCGACGAGCTCGCCTTCGCGCGGCGGTTCCGGCGCACGCGCGACCGGCGGGCGGAGTCCTTCCGCGCGGTGCGCGCCTCGGTAAGCCATCCCCTTCCCCCCAACACAACCACTAACTCCGCAATAGTGGGCCCACGAGCCGGCGGCCCTCGCCTGGCTCGACGAGGGCGGTCTGCCCCGGGGCGCCGACGCGAGCAAGTCGTTCCTGGACGCGCTGCGCACGCTGGCGCGCAGCGTGTGGTCGTGGGAGCGCGCGCGCGCGGGCATGAACGCGGCGATCGCGGCGCGGCTCGCGTTCCGCGCGAAGGGGGTGCGGCTGCAGCCGCGGGTCACGACGTCCGATCTGATGGTCGCGCGGCGGGGGCGGTTCCGGGGGGTGCCGCTGCGGACGGGCGAGGAGATCAGCGAGGAGTGGATGAGGCGGTTTGGCATGCGGATGGATGCGCATGGGGTTTTGTGCGCGGCGGAGGGGAGGGCGGGGGATGATGAGGAGGGGGGAGAGGGAGAAGGGGAGGGGGAGGGGGGTTTGTTTGTGGAGGAGGAGGAGAAGATGGAGGAGGATGGAGGGAAGATGCAAGGCGTGGATGTGCTGGTTGATCCCGATCTCGAGATATCACCGCCGCTTGGCCTGTACCCCGATCCGGACCTCGCCCCCTCCACACCGACCACTACCTACTGCCCCCCGAGCCCGTCCTGGAGCGGTATATCCACATGTCCCTCCTCTCCGGCGCCATCCTCCCCCTCCTCCTCTTCATCCACGACCACCGCGACCACCGCGCTCACCGACCCATCCCTCTCCGCCTCCAGCTCCTCCTGGAAGCGCTGCGGCTGCAGCGCCGACGTGCCCGACACGTGGGAAGCGTCTGTGTCGCCGCCGGGGGCCCTCCCGCTGGAAGTGCAGCTCTCGCTGCTCGCCTCGTGGGCGTCGTTCCGGCTGCCGTGCTACCGGCACACGCGGTGCCTGGCGGCGCGGCTGGGGCTCGCCTACTACCAGGTGGAGGTGAACGAGCTGCGGCGGCGGCTGCGTGAGGTGCACGCGCAGGACGGGCTGCTGCGGGCCGTGCGGGAGCATCGCCGCCTGTTCGGGTGGTTTAGGCGGGATTACGTGCATGGGCTTTTGTTTGACGATGATGGGGTGGATGATAAGAAGACAGGTGGGGAAGGGGGCCCGGTGAAGAAGAGGGAGAGGATTGAAGGGGTAGACGAGGTAGAGGGGACGATGGATGATATCGATGGGAAAGGGGAGATGAAGGATAACTAATATTGCATTGAGATGCATTTCGAAGGGTTTCAATGTACTAACATATGGACATATACACGATAGTACTCTAGCCCAAGGCCTGTTTCTTTGTCATAGTGGTGGTGTAGTGAGCAATATGAAAAAGCACATCTCACAAATTAGACTGGGCATTTGATCACCTCCAAAACTCACACGCGACAGTAATGGTATTTGGTTTTTTTTTCTTATTCTTATTCTTATTCGTGTCTCTCTCATTGTTGACATCAACGAGTTCATAAACCAACTTGGTCTTAAAACCCAGACCAGCCCAGCTGTACCAATCATTATCATTACCACCACAACAAACAAGGTATCATTTCCCTTCTCTTTCGACGTTCCCCTATTCAACCAACCCATCCCAACCCCACCCAGCTAGCTAGCCAGCCAGCCAGAAATGCATGTCCGTCAAAAAATATCACAAAAAGAGGGCCCGCAAGGCCCTGTACTCCCTAGGGGTATCATTGATGAATAATAATGAAAGTCCAGAATGCAAAAAAATGGATATAAAAAAGAGGTATAACGCAGGAAAGAGAAGAGTAGGGTGAGGCGATAGAGAGATAGTTATGTGTATATATATAACGGAGGGAGAAATAGGAATTTAGCGAAAAGCTACCCAGCCAAGGGCATTCATGGTGGTAGTAGTCGCCTCATACCCTCGAAGTGAGGAGCGCCCAGTTTTTCAAGGATTTTCCTGATTCTTTGCGCACAGCCCAACCCTTGAGCGCCAGAACCAGCACGATCCAGGCCATGAGCAGCCCGACTAGGCCCATTGTGACCGTGTATATGAACATGGCGTCGAGGTCGTAATGGACCATTCCTTTGACGGTGTCGCTGCTCTGCTCGGGTTGTTAGTAACAGATTCCGTGAGATAGATAGCATGGAAGGATAAATCAATGGACTTACACTGGCCATGAAGATGGTGCCTCCCGACATGAGACCGAAGGCAGTGAGCAGTTCGGTGGGAGGTCGGGAAGGCAGGATAGACCGCGGCGGCTTGAGATACAACAGCACGTAGGTAAATCCTCGGGCAAATGATGCTCCGGTCAAGAGATTTCCCCATTGCTTGTGGACCATGCTCGAGATCATAGACTGCTGCGTGTGAGAGCTCATCATGATGCCGAGGAGGAGGATCACGAGCGCTGGGATCGGGTTGATCGAGAACTCGTATTGCTTAGGCTCTTCTAGTGCCTCGCGTTCCTCATCACTATAAGCATGCGCCGGATGTGTGAGCGCTGCCTCAGTCACCGTCGTGTTGAGCAGATCGCGGATGCGAGTAGACTCAACAAGCATCGCCAACTTGAAAGAAGATATCAGGACCTTTCTCTCTTCGGAAACATTGATTTAAAGAAACTTACCAGACCCCCTCCAATGAAAAGCACGGTGATAGACATGTGCTCCAGATCTTGGGCGCTAAAGTCTTCCCCGGCATTGGCGAGGTGCTCGAGGAAGATGTTAGTCGAACCGTAAGTGAAGATAAGAGCACCTTCGACGAATTCGGCCGAGGGACGCCACTTTTGGGAGAGCTGCTTCGGGCGAACGTTCCATGCCTGCGGATTTCGTTAGTCAGATTCGATTATTCTTGGGTCCATGTAAGCTTGGCATTTCACATGGATGGACTCACCCAGCCGAGCTCTCCGAAGCTCCCGGACCATCTTCCCATGGTCAAGATGCCGTACCAGAAGAAAATGGCACCCTTGATCCAATGCGCCAAACCGCTGAAAATCTCGTGCCCCTCCTAATCGTGTTTGTTAGCGTACTGATATGTCAAATGCTCGAATAAGCAAGGCTTACGAAGAAGCGCGCGTATGTGATGATGCCAGTGCACAGCGTGATGTAGCCCAGAATCAGGATGGTCCTGTCCACGAAGTTGTACCCGAAAGTCAGGAATTTCCATGTTCTACCCGAGATCTTGCTGGCGAATT